TAATTATGGTTGATTTACGAGTTTAAGAGTTTTATAGGGAATTATGAGAAAAAGGGATTTTTGGCCTTCGTGGCCTAAATCTATTATGGAGATTGTAACCGTAGGGATTTTAAGGGTAGAGATGAGAAATAGTGATCTTTGGCCTTCGTGGCCTAAATTGATTATAGGTAAATCTAGCTGTGGTTCAATTGGGGAAAAAGGGATTTTGGCCTTCGTGGCCTAAATCTGGTTTTGGAAACTCTGATGTTGTGGTGTAGTGGTAAGTATTCCTGACAGTTAGAGAATAATATGAGAAAGGGAAACCTTAGGCCTTTGTGGCCAAAACCTTGAATTTTTATATGTCCGACCCTGAAGGAATAGAAATATTTGAATGTGAGTAACTCTAATGACTTAGGGTGTAATTGAAGGAAAAATTGTGATTTAGGGCCGAATATGTCCCAGGAGTGACCTAATAAACCATAGGTTTTGTGCCTTTATCGCCGTAAGACCTTAGAGATGATTTAGGGCTGTTTCGGGGGCATTGGGTAAGTGAATCGTAGAGCCTTTTGGGTAGAAATCAGTTCTGGTGCGTAGCATAATTTGCTGTCATTGCACATCTGTCTAGCGAAGAAAGCTTCGCCTAGCGAACCATGTTTTTCCCAGACTCGCCTAGCGAAGAAACTCGCCCCAGACTCGCCTAGCGAACATGCCAGCGAACGTAGCAGAGTTTTTCGAATATTGATCGTGTGCAGCGATGCCTTGATGTTTGATTCTGTGATTTTTGTGATGAGTTAACATGAGTATGACAGTAAGGTTTATGTGATTAATAGGCGATAGTACGAGGATTACCGCGAGTATCATTATGAATTAATATGTGATAATATGATGAATTGATATGAGTATAACTGTGAGCGCTATATGATTTGTACATGGTTATATGATGATTTTCTATGATGTATGATGATTATTATGATGAATTATAATGACGTGATGTATGATGAGATATGATGGCATGATGTATGAAGAGGATTATTATGATGAGTTATGATGACATGATGTATGATGATGAGCTATGACGTTTGATGATGATGAATATGATGAATGATGATGCACCTATGATGTTATTATGAGGATGATTTGTGACATGTGCATCATGCATTCATGTGCATCCGGACTTCGGTTCAGGACCTCGATTACTTTGGCTTCAATTCCACTGTGTGGATGTGAAGTGTTTTGATGTGTTTCGGTTCTCTAATAGAATCGATCCTATTAATGGGGATCTATGGAGGGTTGATGACCCAGTGTCCATCGCGCTGTGATGATTGGTACCACATGCATTGAGTCTTGTTGCATCTGCCTTTATGGTCTTTTGTATGACTTATGACATTGTGGCCTTTGAGGCATATTGAGGGATATGAATGTGTTGAATATGATTATGATGGCATTTATATGTTGATTTTTATACATTGATTATTATGAATTGTTTTACTCACCCTGCCTGTTTGAGTGTTACCTCCACGTGGATAACATGCAGATGACCAGGTTTAGCCGTGGGTGCCGTCGAGGATTATTTTTGAATTCTTTGAGTTGTTAGCCTTTTGATTAACTTAGAGGATCTTGATCTGATATGTATCATCGGGTTGGGAACTTTTGAGTTAAACTATATACTGTTGAGTTATTTTGTTTATTTTCCCTGCGGAAGAAAACCTTGACTTATGCCTTTGAATTCCGCTGCTTTGTGCAATTTGGTGTATTTTGAGAAAACCTGTTGTTTACGGAGCCTTAACCTATTTTTGAGGAGTTGAGAAATGTACGCCCTTTTGAGGCGACTTTTTATAGAGTTAAATAATTTACTCTGATTTATGTGAAAAATGTGTCTTTTAATCGTGGGGTAGAAAAGGGTGTTACAGAGTACATATAAAATTAAGGTAAGAAAGTATGGGCTTTGAACTTTGATACAATCCAATTGTAATAGGGAAATAGTGTGTCTTTCCACCTCGTGTTTGTACATTAATAGATACCCTTACATACATATCTTGGATAAATTGAATATATACAATCCAAACCCTTTTCTTCTTTAGATTTTTCCACAAAATCTCTTTAGGCACTCAATCATACGCCTTATCCTAGTCAATAGAAGTTAAGTGCAAGTTTTGTTGGTGCATCCGATAGTACTCCATCATAGGTCATAGTAGATAGATTGCTTCCATGGTTTGCCTTTTAAGCATAAAACCAAATTGATTTTTAGTGAGTTGAATATCTTTTCTTAGTCTTCGTTCAATCACTACTTCACATAACTTCAATGTATGTATCATAAGTTTAATCCTCCTATAATTTGCACATTTTTGTATATCCCCCTATTCTTATAGATTTGGAACTAAATTGCTTATTCTCCATCCGTCCAACATTTGCTTTGACCTCATAATTTTATTAAAGAGTTTGGTGAGTCTTTCAATACATCTATATCCACGAGTTTTCCACACTTCAATAAGTATGTTGTATGGCCCAACCGCCTAACTGTTACTCATCCTTTTCAATATTTCCTTTACCTCTTGCTTATGAATCTGACAGTAGTAATTATATTTCTGATTCGCTTCTCTAATGTCAAGTTTGCTAGAGTCCTATGAGATATCATATCGTTCATCAAATAAATTGTAGAAATACGTCTTCCACTTCATATCTTTTTCATGAACCAAGACTTTGTCTTCTTCATCTTTAATACACTTCACTTGATCCAAATTATTTGTATTTCTTTCTCTTCCCTTAGCAAGCCTATATATAAAATTTCCCCCCTCAATTGTCCATAAAGATTGGTATAATCCGTCAAAATTTTAGGTTATTGCTTCACTCCTGGCCTTCTTAGTCTCATTCTTATCTTTCTTATACTTTTCTAAGTTTCGACATTTTTACACCTAGACCATTATTTAAAACAATATTTTTATTACTCTAACTTACATTGAACACTTTCATTCCATTATTTAAAAAGTTCTTTTTGTTTGCGATAACTTTACTTTAAACACTTTCATTCCACCACCACAATTCTTTACCCCTAGGCGTTAAACCTTTTGGTTCTCCCAACGTCTCTTTAGCCACATCTATAGTATCTTGGGTCATTTTATTTTTCATATCATTTGCACTTTCTTGAGGTTGTCCAAATCCTCCATCCAAGACTTTTTATGTTATAAAATTCTTTGTTTTCACCATTCGAATGTCACCACTTGGCATGTGACGTTCTAATGTGACTTCTTATTTTTTTCTCTGTCGTTGCTTCTTACATCCATAACCAATACTCTACGTTGGATAGTCAAATTCTCTCCCGGAATAACTTTACAGTCCAAGCAAATCTTTCTATCCGACTTCCTAATAAGAAAGAAATTTATTTGAGAACATGTCATCCCATTTTTATGTGATAAGATGCTCATCTCTTTTCCTAAACTACATATTTGCTATAGTAAGATCCAATGTCGATAAAAACTCAATGATAGATTTATCATTTACTTTCACTTTCCTAGACTATAACCGTCATGCACGCTTTAAAAATCTCTTGCTACGCTCCTTACATGTCCATTTAAATCTCCCTCCTAGAAAAATCATATCTCCTAGGGGTATATTCTGAAGTAAACCTTCTCAATCGTCCCAAGGTTTTCCCTTAAGGTGTTTTTCTAACCCAACATTAGGTGCGTAAACACAAATGAAACTAAACATGTCTTGTTCAACTACAAAATTTAACAAATTTGAAGGCTATGATTCGATCTCCTACTCTTTTCGCATCCATAATATCATTCTTCCACTCATTGTTCATAATAATCCCCATCCTATTTTCTCAATCTAACTTTTCTGTGTAGCAAAATTTAAATTCCAAGTTGTCTAATTATTTTGCTTTTTCACCTACCCACTTAGTTTTTTGTAAGCACATAAAATTGATCTTTTTGATAACCATAGTTTCCACTATTTATATAGATTTTCCGGTAAGTACGCATGTATTCCATGATTCAAAACGAATCATATTCTCATGAACTAACTTCTTCACCCACACCTGTTCACGAAAATGTGAAAACCCTTGTTTACGGGCGATACAACGACCCTTACTCTTTTGACATTGTACTCGAACCATACAACGCGTTGTTTACAGACGACCATTTACATTATTTCATAATTGATCTATGTCAAAAAAATCGATAAAGTTTTGCATTCATTCGCTGTCGAGTGTCTACTACAACTATCTCCTTTTATAAATGTGTTTGCAATTTTAATAAATTTAGATATTATTAGTCACACCGCATTAAATATTTAAAGACCCAAAATGATTGTTTTTTTTGGTATTACACTTGTGCCAACAATTGAGAGATATACAATATCCCTACTATTTTAAATTCATCCATCAGTACAACATTTTTTTGCCGGTTGTCTTATTGCGTTTGATTTTTCATATTCTGATCTGTACTGTTTGTTAGATTTAGTTTAATAAATCATCAACATCGTTCCATTGCAATTTCAATCAACAATTTGAGTGAAAATTACAAGTCCGAATACACGAGTATATTTGCCATTTAGATTTTGCCTATTTATGTCATTTTCCTATTATGTTGTTTTCCGTTTATTCAATCAATTTAAATATGAATAGACACCAATTTAAATAGAAACATTTTAGTCAAAAGTCTGAGTTAGTGCTAAGTAGTTAAGCTGTTATGCCAGTAAAAGGATACCCAAGTGAAGATAAATCTCAAACTATGATCATGAAGAATATAAACTAAAGTAAAAAAGAAAAATAAGGCCAAAGTGCCATCATTGAACTTCACTAAAAATAAACTTTTTTTCAGAAACAAATAGACAATGTTTACTTGTAGGACTGAGTTGCTCCCATTCCATAAAAGGTTGATCAATATAGATTCTTAAGAACAATAGGTTGATCAATATAGATTCTTAAGAACAATAGGTATGTAATCTAAGAGCAATCAACCACATGTCAATGGGAATCATTACTGAAGAATTGTTCAAACTCGTATATACATAATCTCACATTATTTCTTATGTATTCTACAGTCTGGGGAGTTATATGCTAACGGTGATAATGGTTGTCTTGCTGAATCTATATCGTCAAAATCAATCTTCCTCTCCACTGCGCTACTTCTACTTGTTCGAGGACTACACATTTTTTTGCTGGACTGCAAAAGTCGAATAAAATGAGATACGGTAGCGGTCACAAAAGATTAGTATAATTACTATTAGGCTACTTATAAATAGGTATATATCATCACCAGCAGGGAAATGAAATGAGTTGCAACTTGCAATGCAACTTCGAATGCACAAAAGTGCATCACATTTTTCTTGAGTTTAAAGATATAACTTGCCTTGGCAGATGGGCTGGTGGTATGTTTCTCACTCGAATTGGAGTTGTTCCTTTCTTTCTGCTCCACTGGGCTATTTGTTCTGGGACTACTAGACTTTCTCTTGTTTGACTGCAAAATTCAAATACAACGAAATATGGTAAAACTCACAATTGCTACATATGATAACTATTATACGACTTAGATGAGTATTACATGAGAGCACTTAACATTTTTCTTTTGAAATTAAAAATCTACTCACCTTGGCAGACTGGCTACCGGTATGTTTCTCGCCCGAACTAGGGTGGTTCCTTTCCTTGTATTTCTTCAATAGCTGTTTGTTCTCCTTGTCCAATATGCTGTTTTCATCAAACAATAATTTGACCTGGGCATACCATGCTAATTTAGATAAGGGACCAATAATTAAACCATCCAAAGAAATGACATCATTCAAAAAATAGGGGATCGATCAAAACTATACCTCCTCCTCAGCTTTGTGAAGGTTAATTCTTAGATGCTCCTTATCTTTTTGAAGTGACTTGATTTTGGCAACTAGAGACAAAACTCTATGAGTTGATGGCTTTAGGCTGCAAATTCATTGAAAATTAGGCTTGTAAAAGTGAACCAACAAAAACCAAAATTGAAATTATATGAGGCCAATATTGTGACAAAAAGAATAGTCCCTAAGATTAATGGCAAGAAGAGAAAAATGGGAGAATGAGGTTGCAGGCTCACCAGTTCCACATACTCAGCAACCTTTTACATGACCCGTTTTCAAGATTTGCTTTCAAAAAGGCATGTGTAGAATCATCATCTTTGCTTACAAGTGTTTCCAAAAGAGAGTCAAGTAAATTCTTTATCTCAACAGAGCAGTAAGGAGAAGAACCCTTCACGGGAAAAGCAAATGTCTGTGGTCAACATTGACATCCAAAAGGAACTAGAATTTACAAAAGCTGTTACTATATCTTAAGTTAAGGGAAAGGGAAAATCATTCTGGATATGTGACAAAGGACAGTGCTTATTTCACTACATACCAGAAAATAGAACATTAACACAAAGCACATCAAATTCTCAATTTAAGACAAAAATCAATACATAGTTCTTGAGTTAGTAGAAGCAAAAAGTTTCACGGTGAGAGAATTACGAGTCAAAATACTCTTTCCTAGCCACACTTAAAAAAAGGGATATGCCTTTCTTACATTTTCTAAGTTTACATTCACACCAGATAATGAAATTTCAACCAACTCACATCAAACAACTTCATTCTCTTAATCACTAAAACATGATATACCTAGTCTTTTCAGTTACACTAAACCCCTTCATAATCATATCCCATTAAAAAGCCCAGCAATATCTTTCACAACATAATGCACTAACTAACTCAGATCATTAGGGGGCTTATTTGGGAGGTGTTTTTTTATTGGCTTTTTCACTTCTTAGTTTGAGGATTTACCATCCCTTTCAAACAGTTTTTAATTCCTTTTTTGATTTGGTAAAGTTAGGTCAAGTTAGAATCATCGACAGCTCAGATTCCTTCCAAACAAAGACCATGGGTTACACTTGTTTCCCCTCCCTTTCTTCAAATTCCTTCCTTTCCATCCTTTCCAAATTCTTAATCTATGTAATGCATACACTTCAAATTAAAAGCATAATAGATGCTCTACACATGTAGGTGTTAGACACCAACACATTAATCAATCAATGATTTGAATTCTAATTCAGACAAATTTTCAAAAAAGGGGGAAAATTATTACCTTTAAATCCTTTTGATGCTTGTAATTTTTCAATTCATCCATAACGAATTGCAAATTCCTTTCCAATTCCAAAACACGCGATCTCGCCTGTTGTTCTCGTTCATCAGCTTCATTCCCAAATTCCATCAACGCTTCCCTATCATGTTCATACAAAGCAATTTCCTTTTCCAAATTATTCCCTCTATCCAACAACTCCTGACACGCGGAAGCAAGTTTCTGATTCTCCAATTCAAACTTCTTCAAAGCTCGCGCATTCATATCCTGTTCAGACTGATCCAAAACAACAAAAATAATCATAAATTTTCAATCACCAAAAAAGTAATAAATAACTATCAAATAAATAAAAAAATCAGCAAAACCTTGTAGCGTTGAAGGAGTTTCTCTTTCTGATTCAATTTGCGGAGTAGTGAAAGGTTCTGTTCGCGAAGGTACGATTGTGATTCTTCGTATATACGAAGCTGGTGTTGTTTGATCAAGTTCCTGTTATGAGGAGAATCTCCCATTGTTGTGGATGGTGAATTTGAAATTCAGAATTTCAATTTGTGAGAAAAAAAGGGTTTTTGGGAGTGAAATTGAAAGTGGAAGAAGCGGTGAATGGGTAGTATCACTTGAATGAGTTGGAAGCAGCGATGTTTTAGGAAAAGAAAGGGAATCAGGTTTAATGGTCTAGCCGTTGGAACGGAATTTGAAAAAAGTTGCGAATTTGGGCCGTTTGAAAAAAGGCCCAATGATATATGTTGTGGACGAGGATTTAACTTGCCACTCTCTCTTTCATATTTAGCACTCTCACTTAATTTGATAACTCAAAGTTGGATTTAAATGTGCTTACAAAATTTCTGATACAATCGAAAATTCCGGTAGCGTATTTATAATTTCATATATGAACTAATATCTGAATTTTCAAATATTTTTGGTACATTTGAAATTTTACGAGTATTTTCAATAAATGCCATGTTATAATAGAAATTTCAACCAATAAGAAATTTTTGGTAGTTCAATTTTATAAGATTTACAACATACGAGTGTGATTGCACCGATCATTTTGTGTCGTCCAGAACGAATTCAAAGTTGTATAAATAACTATTTGTTGTTAAGAAAAACATCTCAAAATGCCTATTCCCTAATTTTTGATTAAGTCAGAAGTGTACTTCAGCGAGGTTGCACCTCCTGTAGAGTTCCGGCTTCCAGATGACACCACATCTCTTGCCTCTTTAACATCCAAGTTGAATGAATTGTTTCCCGATACCGATAACAAAAAGTTGAGAAAGACCGAGTTTCGTGAAGATTGAGTTGATACTGATGGAAGGGTGAAATACAACCTTATTAAGTTCAAGAACAATGCAGATTTGACGGTTATGTGGAGATCATTTCACCGTATGCTAACTAAGGGGTCGATCGAGTTAGATTCGAAGATTTCAAGATCTGTCGACAACATAATTAAGATGTTGAAACGTGCAGAATCATCTCGTAGTGTCTAGATTTTCATGTTTCTTTATTGTTTATTTATCTTAGTTGTAAAGTCTTAAGTTATCTTTGAAACATGTTATCGATAAAATATTACGTAATAAAAGGTAAGATGAAAACAAATAATACCATGAGGTTATCCAAATAATACCCCAAAATATACAAATAATATAGATACAAAATCAAATAACTAAACAGGTTCCCCTTGGGATATGTGTGCTACCCGCGATAATCCAGAAAAAACCTCACTATCTGGGTTTACCAAACCCATGAGGTTCTCCATAATAACGATCATTTGCAAGCGATGGTGGTCATCGACATTAGGTGGAGGTGGTGGCGGCGGCACGTCATCAGCAGGTACCCTAGCATCGGAAGACACAACATCATCCGTATGCTCGCTAGGTGGAATGATGCGAGGGTGTGATACAATGAGGTGTCACTCTAGGTAACCATCCTCACACTGTGAGTCATGCTGAACCCTCATTGCGCTATCTATAATGGCACAAGTAGAACTGATGATTGATGATAGTCTGTCATTGCATCTAATTAGTCGAAGAATTAGGGAAAAACGTGGGAAAGATGAGCTAAAATGATGAAGAAAGACCCAAGAATGAGCGAAAAATAGCCAAGTATGGAAGAATGAGACTTAGTGAAAATTCAGGTGTAAAAAGGGTGATTTCCCACGCAAATATTAGAATAATCACACGCACCATCACGCACTATCACGTGCGCGATAGAGGTAACACAGATGCATCGCGCGTGCTATGCTTTTATAATGTGTGCGGTGGTTACTTTTTCTGGGCTTTTCTCACGTGTTCTGACTTGTTTCGACAACTTTAAAAATAATTTTCTGCTTTTTGATAAGGGTTACGAATTGTGGAGAGGAGAACACAAATTTGGGATCACAAAGGGGGATTTTTAGAGCATTTGAAGCCATTGGAGGTCATCTCTTCAAGAGACTTTTTATGTTATTTTTATATATCGATTGTGATATTTTCCTTTGAATAATGTGTACCTGAATTCTCTTAGGTTAGGTTGTCTGATGATGAACCTTATTCAATATTGTTGGCATTATATGTTGGTTTGACTTTGTATGAATCATTTGAATTATAATTTTATTTAATAGCTGCTTATGCTTAATGCTTTTTATTTGAGATACTGTGTTAATTTGTTGTTAGACATATAGGGATTCCTGACTCGTAGCTTATGTATAGGACCTAGGGCAATTGTTCCACTTACGTTGATTGAATATGGATAGGGAGATCCCGAGTAGTGGAGGACTAGGGATAAGCTCTGATTAGTTGTTAGTGATTTATTGCATAGGGGACTGACTATAACAGGTTTGTTATTTCGCCATGAGATTATAAGGATAAGACCATTCATACAAGGCATCATACCTAAAAAAGAGAGGATAAAGGGATTTTAAAACAAAACATGACCACTTTCGTGACATTGTTTTCCAATTTAATTACTTTTCACACTAAAACTTGCAAAATCATTGCTTAAGTTACCACTTTCCTTTAAATTGCACAATCATTATCTTGTTCGAACACAATCCTTGTGGGTTTGATCTTTTTATTACTGCGATATTATCGGTACACTCGCTGAGAAATCATCAAGTTTTTGGCACCATTGCTGGGGATTATTGATTGCAATAGGGTAACGCTTTGTGCAATGTTATTTTTCTTGGTTAATTTTAATTTTAGTTTTTATTGATTTCGTATATGTTCTTGTTTATTTCTTGTGCAATGCTAGATGGTTTGTACCGACAGACCCTACTAACTTTAATATTAAAAATTATGTGCTTTCAGGTCTAAGAGACAATCCATTCGACGAGAACGGTATTAGAGATCTGTGGGCTCTTCTTACATGCTTCTATGAAACTGCTTTGATGTGCAAGCCGAATAATGTTATTGAGGACTGAGTGAAGTTACAGTTGTTTGGTTCTTGCTTATTGGAAGGACAAAAGATTGTTTATTATTCCTTCCAAATGGAACCATTCGAACATGGAAGAAGCTAGAGGATAAGTTTTTGGAAAGGTTTTTCACTACCACCCAGTTCACTGAAAGAAGGGTTGAAAATTTTAAAATTTGAGCAACAAGTTGCGAAGTCCTTGTATGACTCATGGGAGAGGTTCAAACTATTGCTACATAGATGCCCCAACCATAATCTGGATAATATGAAGTAGATGCAAAGTTTCATCAAAGGCCTAAAGAGTCAGAATTGCATGATCCTAGATGCTTTTGTGGGAGGCACAATTAGACAAATGACAGAGCCACAAACCAAGGACCTAATTGAAAAGATGTGCATGAACGAGTACCGCATTAAGAGTGAAATATTGGTAAAAGTTAAGACGGTAGGTACACCCAAAGGTATGATAACTGTTGATACTCAAACGAATTTATTAGCTCAAATTGAATTGTTGAATAAGCAGCTAGCTGAAATCAGCTTAAATAAAGCTAACGTGAGGCAGGTACAAACACTTAAGCGTGACTTTTATGGAGGAGGACATGAAAACAGAAGGTGCTATTTGGAAGGGTCAAGTGAAGAGGTTCAATATTCTAATTTTCAAAAGAACAACCCTTATTCCAACACCTACAATCCGAGATGGAGATATCATCCAAATTTCCGTTAGAGCAACAACCAAAATCAGAATGGTAGCCAAGTTATGCAACAAAATCAACAAGCTTTTAATTTCCAAAGGAAGCCCTCACAATTGGAAGAGACCTTGGAAAAATTTATAAAAGCCACCCAAATTAGCTTGTAATAGGAAAAAAGGAATCATGAGACCATGAGTAGAAGCCATGAGGCGTGTCTCAAGAATATGTAGACGTAGATTGGTCAGTTAGCAAAGCAAGTCGCTACGCTATCAAGCTCGAGGGAAGGATTCTCTGGTGGAATGATGGATAATCCCATGAATAAGTCATGCAAGGCTATGGAGATAGGTTTTGAGGTAATTGTTCAAAAAGGGGGAGATGACATAGTGGAAGAGGAGCCATTGGACAAGGAGAAGAAACCTAAAAGTGACCAATACGAGAGAGGAGTCACCATTGACCAATTAATAGACAAAAGCTTTCTACGGAGAAGAATAAAGAAGAAAATTATTAATGATCCCAATCCTCCATTACCTGATTGCATCAAGGCACCATATCCTATAATCAAGAAAAAACCCTGCATGAAAAGGAGGTCGAAATGTTTGCCAAGTTCAAGGAAATGCTCAATACACTGCAAGTAAGTATCTTTTTCCAGGAGGTTTTAGAACTGATGCCTAAGTTTGCCAAATTTATGAAGGAAATATTAAAGGGTACCAAGAAAAAAGTGGAAAAGGCGCAAGCCAATATGAGTGAAAAAGATGACAAGCCCATGTCAGAAATATTGCCACCAAAGCTTAAGGATCCAGGTAAGTTCTCTATATTGTGTAAAATTGGTGGGATGGAAATCCCACATGCATCATGTAATTTAGGCTTGAGCGTAAATGTGATCCCACATGAATTAGGAGATATCTTACCGACCAATATGACTCTTGCCTTAGCAGACTCATCTGTGACCCAACCTGTTGGCGTCATACAAGATGTGTTAGTGCATGTCAATGGGTTAATGTTTCCTGCAAATTTTGTAGTATTGGATATGAAAGGAAGGTTAGAGGGCTCGGTGATTCTCGGACGCGCATTCTTGGCAACTGGGAAAGCTAAGATCGACGTTGAAATAGGTGAACTTATTTATAAAATTCAACAAAGAGAAAATGGTTTTTAAGGTGTATAATTGGATACAGTGTGTGAAAGATTTGAATACATGCTACCACATGGAGGAAAAAGATAGTAAGGTTGATAAAGGAAGAAAAACAACCAAATTTATCAGCGTAAGGGTTCCCTTTGCGCCCAACGTGCCTTAAACACAAATCATCAAGCTAGTGACAAAAAAGAAGCGTTGGATGGGAGGCAACCCATTGGTAAGGAATTAAATCTTTATTTTACGCATAATATTTTTTATATTAACATGTAATGTTTGAATATTATCATGGTGTCGATAAGAGAACTGG